TGTGGTCCCTGCCGATGGGTTCCCCTCTGGCGCCATGCGCGCGGCTTGGTCTTGTAGAGCCTTGATGTCACCCCAGGTGATGGGGTGAGCTCATCGGTGTCTAGGTCGTCTCCGCCATCGGGGCTGGTTCTCTTCTATGGTCAGGTCCTCCATTTCTTCCACGGGGGGCGATGGTGGCAATCTACGGCTCATCGCTGGTGGTGTAGGGTTTGATGTCACGAGCAGGGATACACGCGGGACTTTTGTCGCCTTCTGGAAAAATACAAGCAAACTCTCTCCCCTGGGTTAAGAGTGGGTCGGTGCCTTTCCAGGCTCCGATGAGTGGGTCTCTCCACCGGACCAAAGGAAGAGGTGTTGGTATGTCCCGGAGTCCTCCCCAGTGTTTATACATAGGGGTTAATCCATGCTGAAAATATGAAATGAAAATAATTGAAGGTAGTTAAGGCTTGGGTTAACAGTGTATGAGGATTTCTCCCTATCACTCCCCCTTTTTCTTTAATCAGTTGGGCCTTGAGTTCCCTGTGTAGTCTTTCAATAATTGCCTGTCCCTGGGGTTATAGGGGATGCCCATGGTATGCTTGATGTCATGTGATTTTAAGAAGTCTTGAAATAGAGTGCTGGTGTAGCATGGTCCATTGTCAGTTTTTACCTCCCACGGGAATCCAAGGATGAGAAAGGCAGCCTTGAAGGTGCCAATGCTATGTTTGGCTTTTTCCCCCATTTGGACCTGGGCGAACGTAGCTCCTGACCCAGTATCTATGACTGTGTGGACATATTTCGATTTGCCAAACGCTGGGACATGTGTGACATCCACTTGCCATATGGCATTGGGCTGTAGTCCTCAGGGATTGGCCCCTCTGGGTTGTAAAGGCCCGAGGGGCAGTAGAGGGCCGCAGGATCAGCAAGCACGTATGAGGTGCTTGCACTGAGCTAGGGGCAAATGGGGGAAGAGCTTATGGAGAGAGGAGGCTGACATATGAAATTTAGTGTGTAGGAATCTGGCCTCTTCTATGGGCTGTAGGGTAAGAACTAGCTTGTCCACTTCTTCGTTGCCTAGGGAAAGTGGGCCTGGTAGGCCAGCATGAGACCGTAAGTGTTGGATATGCCAGGCA